CTGGGACTAGTACACGCATGCTTGGGCCGCAAGTCCTTGTTCTGCTGCTTGCGCAAATAGGGGTCAACTCGGGCATGGCAGCCTCTATGAGACGCTCACCAGACCGTCTATAAACATTTCTGGTTGGGGACTCGGATTGAATCTGGCTGTGATCGTCGTCCTGACTGCGACGTTAAATAATTCCTGAAGAGATGGGGGCGCTCTTAATAATCCTCGTTATCAGCCAGATCAACCGGGTGTAAGGCTCGTCGGCGTACGAGGGTAAATAAGAGTGTTGTGGCTGCCTTGCTCGACGATGACTTGAGGCACAGGGGTGGGACCGGATTGCACACCTTTAGACACGCTGCTCAACCAGATACTCAGGGACGTTGACACAAAGTGACTACTCAAGAGGGATACAGGGGGAGGGGGGATTCCGGTAACTGTTCGCAGTGGCAATCAACAGACAATCTGCCATCAAGCATACATCTCCAACAGGAGATGTTATTTTCTGTTTTGATTATCTAGTTGTTACGGACTTGCTGACAACTGACAGACAACTACAGATAGACTAGACCTTTGCTGTATTGCAATCTGTTCCAGGGTAATCTAAAAATAGATGTAATATATCCTGTAGGACCTGACATTAGTTGTAATTATATCACCTAACTGTTTTGTCCCATCCGACCGAAAGTAATTGTGTTTCATAATCGGTTGTGTGTCAAGCTAAGGTAGGATTCAGTGTGGATTCTAGTTTGGATCACACACACAGTAGCTCATGAGTGATGCAAGCACAAGTGAGGAGGAGTCACTAGTGGACGACCGTAGGACTACTCGCGGGACTGCCCGTAGTCGACCCTTGACATTCTTGGAGTTAGGTCCGGGAGACAAGAGAAGATCGAGGAGAGAGGCTAGAGAAAGGGCAGCGGCAAGGAGAGCGAGGGCAGCTGAGGAGAGTGCTACAGCTAGAATTACAGCTAGCATCAGTACAACCATGGCTACCTCATCTATGACGCAACCCTCTACACAGCTTACTTCGTCAGGAGTCAGTCAGAGTGGTGCTCAGGCGGTCACTAGTCAGATTGGTCATGTGCGAGTCAGCCAATCTCCTATCACGCTGGAGGACTTGGAAATCCGGCAAGCAGAAGAACTTCAGGATGAGCTACAGCGGCAGATGGACGAAGTAGTAGAAAGAAGAAGAAAAGCTATGCAACGAAAAGCTAGACTAGAGAGTAGATTGCAGGAGTTAGGCAGACTGGAAAGACTAGATGAGGCAACATTAGACCCTGCTGTTCGTGTGCTGCGAGGCGCCTTACTTTCAGTGGCGGAAGCGCAAAGCGTTCAACAGGAATTGTTGGCTGATTTGGTAGCAGGCCAGAAACAAATTTTGGCTGAACTTAGGGGCATTCGCCCAACGGCGAGGCCACCACAGTTTGCTGTAGCTCCCCCTGTAGGTGCGGGTCCATCATCGATGCCGCAACGCATAGGGCAAACTTTCTCTCCCATGTTTGGCATGCCCTCCCCGGGTGGTTTAGGTGCAACTAGTGGTCCGGTTCATTCAGTCTCAGCCGTACCGTCTACAACAGTGGTCACTACAGTCCCACTGTCCAACCAGGCCCAGGTTAGTTTGCAACAGCCTGTTTCAGTGGCTATGCAGCCGCTGCATCAAGCACCTGGGCCCATGCAGCCGATGCAGTGAATGCCCAAGATACCTCTAATGAGTCCCAAGCCTTTCTCTGGAGACAAGAAGAGGGAGGAGGACTTGGACACCTGGGTGAGGATTGTGCCTACTTATGTGAGGCACAAGCTCACAAGGCCAGAACAGGAAGTGGTAGTGGCTGCCTCCTTTTTAGAAGGATCAGCAGCCCGCTGGTTGAATGGCTTGGTGCAGCAACAGGGCTACGGTCAGGATTTCGATGCCTGGGCTCAGTCTCAGACATTGGAACAGTTCGTACGGTCCGTCTACAACAGGTGGAATGACCCGCAAGGGGCTCAAAAGGCCACCGATGCTATCAACAACCTTTGTTCTCGTAGGTTCAAGGATGTTAG